ATATATATATATAGAGAGAGAGAGAGAGAGAGAGAGAGAGAGAGAGAGAGAGGCGTACAAGGTGAGAGGTGAGAGCATGTGATGAGTGAATCTCAAATGTATGTTCAACTCGGAGATGGCTATTGTTTTGATGCATTCATTGATTCTGCTGCTAAGACTGAGTTTGTTTTTTCATAAGACAATATATGATCCTGGTTTGTTAATTACTTTGTTCTTTGTTGTTGTGCTAACTGCTAAATAAACATGCATGATCAGCTAGTGTAGTGGGAAATATTTGGTTCAAAACTATAAACAGGAGCTGGAGGATCTCTTATTTTATTCATATTGAGTTACATATGTATAGTAGGAGACTAGAGGGAGAACATTTTTGAAGCAAACAAGCCATCACTTTGTAGTGTTTTGCATTAGTAAATCGGCACCTGGCAGACAGTTTGTTTTGGAAGAATTCATTTACAGTGTCTGCATAGTTTCTAGCCCACCTCACTCTTGCTTCATTGTCTAACAGAGTTTAGAAAGAAGAATGCTGGAAAGAAAGCAGCAGGGTCAAAGGGAAAGGAAGATGAGGCAAGAAAGAAAAGGAAGTTGGAAGGTGAGTCACCTGGTAAAGGTGAGGGTTCTAATAAAGGTGAGGATGCTGATAAAGATGAGTGTTCCGACAAAGGTGAGGGTGGTGATGACCAAATGGACGAATGATTCAAAGGGATGACTGAAGTTGCACTAGTTGTGACTGAGCCAGGGCTTTATATTTTGTTATGTTGATAATGTGCATGAGTCCTTGTTAATTGGATGATGTTCTTACTAGGTACTAACGTCGCAAATATAGCTTTTGATTGTTTGTCAGTAAAGCATATTCCTAACCCGTGATGTAAGGAGTATATTTGGAAAGAAATGATATTCCATCTTAAATATTGATTAGTTGCAAATTTGCAATCTTTCACGACGGGTGTGGAGAGTAAACAAAGAGGTTGTATACAAACTTACCTGTTAGATGAGATGCATTAAAAAGTCAGCAGTTTTACTGCATTTAGTTACGAATACCTGGATTGTATCTGAGTTAAATTAGGACCAAACTTATTTAAGACAAGAATGGATTGCTATAACCATGAGTAACATAACTTTTCACTTATTAATGAGATTGAAATTTGAAGAATAAATTAAATGATAGTTACTCGTAACAACCAAAATAGTTTTGGCATCGGTCCAAAAAAAATAGAAAAAAAAAGAAAGTTAACAGACTAGAGCTTTTTCGGTGAAACGAAACAAAATGAAATGTATTGTAAATATGTAACATTGACTAGTAGGTTAGACAAGCAAAATGATGAATTGAGTTGGCTTATATTTGATCCTAACTCGCCTCTAGATTTCCACCAGTTAATTTTTCAGATTTTCACTTGCCTCTTAACCCAAATGAATCTCGTTGTCTACTAGTTAAATTAGGATGAGTTAGTTCAAGTCATCAAGTTGGGTTTTGCACACTTTCCTGCATATCATCTTGTTAGGAGTATTCATGGACAGCTTTATTTTGTTACTCGCACCCAATAACTCTTGGGTCGATATGGATTAAATGAAATAATTGCCCCTACAATCGTAGGTCGTAGCCTTTCCAAATCCATGAGATTAGACTAGTTATAATCGCCATGGGTTGGTGAATTAAACCAAAATTCTTGAAGTTGACACTAATCAATCACTGAGCTTTGTGCATCATTTTAATAGTAATGATTTTGTATTTCAAGTCTTATAAGTCCATACGAGTGTAAAGTATAAATCCATGGGAAAATGAATAAGTGGGCTGGTTAGTGATATTTGTCGGTTACTTAAATAACAATGGGATGGGTGAGTTCCCTTTATTATCTCTATTATGGAACAGACAAAGGACTTCATGAGGTTTCCTCCGTTAAAAAAAGGTGAAAATATACTCCAAAACTTGTTCCAAATTATTAAAAATTTGATTTAAATAATAAAATATTAAATTAAATAATTATTTTATAATAAACTTATTAAAAAATGTTAATATTTTAATGATTCGGATGTTGATTCGGAATTTGTTTCGACTTATATAGCAATGCTCATATTATAAACATAGGAAGAATTCAACTTACACATAAAATACCCTGACAACATGAATGAAATCAGGACTGAATCTACAGAACAATTTTTTAATAAAAAAAATGTAGCATATTTTGATGCATTAAATGAGCTTGTAAAGCCTTAAGTACACATTTGAGAGAAGAGGATGCTACAATCTATAACAAGACCACTAATATGGACGGTATCTGCGCCCTTGACCACCATCATTGTTGTGCCTTCCCTTATTTGAAGGGCCACCACTCCTGTTACCACTCCAACTGCTACCACTCCTGCCACCTCTATGATGTGAGGGTGGGGCTTGTGGCTGCATTCCTGGTTGTTGCCTGCAGAATAAAATAAATTCTCAGCCTCTGGATTCAGGCAACTAGGGTTTCATATAAGGTCATTGGAATATTAATATTTTATATAAAACATCATTGCAGAATCTTCCAATTTACCAAATGTCAATGATAAAACAAGTTAAACATTTAGAGAAACAGTTCTGTTCTACTTACAAGACATAGCCAATCCGTCCATCAGCCAAAAGCATAGGCATCATGGCCATTCCAGCGGGAGTTTGACCTCCTCCATATAGCAAAGGCTGCAAAAGATACAATTCCAGCCATCAGAATCTCAGGTTAATAGATAGTGAATGTGATAGGGAATCAATAGCACATATATAGTACATAGATCACCTAGCAAGAAAATAAACTTCCTGTAGCAATTATAGTATATATGCATGATTTTAGTAAAATATAAAATATATAAAACATATCTAAATGTAATGCAATATGGATGTAGATTCTATAGAAGTTGGTAGCTCTAGAATTCCATTATTTAGCATCAACATAATGATTTATTTTCACAAAAGCTGAAGACCATACAAGAACAATTTTGGGTCTGGAAACAAGCTTAAAGGTATCAAGTGGAAATGGAAATACAAGCATGTCACCTGCGCAAGACCTGGAGCAGCATATCCTGCACCAAGTGCTCCATAGGCACCCCCAACCAAACCATAACCAACATTTGGTGGATAGCTTGGAAGCAATCCAGGTCCTGGCTTCTGTGTGTGTGATCCTCCGGACTTTTGATCAGACTGTGGTTTTGCCAGAGAGCACTCTAAAATTTGACCTGAAACATGAAAAAAGCCTAAATAATATCGACCACATTCAAATAAAATAATCATAAAAGGCTGGATATTTGGATAATATGCTTACCTTCTAATTCATATCTTTCAGGGCTTTTCAATGCTTTCATGGCATTTGACCTCTCTGCAAAATGTACAAATCCAATTCTGTTCTTTTCCTGTCCAGACTTTGTTGGTGGAAGAACCACCTTTGTAATCTTCCCATGGCGTTCAAAAAGCTTCTTTAACTGCTCTTGAGTTACATTCTTCGGCAGATTCTTCACATATACTGCCTTCACCTGTTCACATATGCAAAACAATTCACTAAATTCAATGTTTGTTTACAGAGTAATGCATCTAGGATAGAAATTGTTAAAATATGACTTACATTTAACAGCTTAGTAGTCATATATTCAGTAGCATATAATAGCATATGATAGAATATTAGTCACTTATACCTATTTTTAGTAACCATTAATTAGCGCATACACTTAATGTACTTGATAATATACACTAGCACCCCCTAAGATACTGCAAAATTACACAAAAAACCACGTGCTTTTATAACATCTACCTTATAAGGGAACATGGAGCAATGTTTTCCAAACAATTAATGGAGATTAATGTAATATCTAAGAGGCGTCAGTATCATGTTAATCTAACAATTAAGGAGAGTTAGCATAGGGGTAGAAAAAACCAAGGGATTTATCCGTAATCTCGCAAAACCTTGTCAGTGTAATTTACTCTAATATATATATTAGACAAAGCTCTTGCAAGCTAAACACACTATTTCAATATCCATTAACATAATTAGTTCATGTTAGGACATTAGTCAACTATAGTTTCAGACACAGTTTGTAGCTGTTAATTGGCTCTGTAATTAATCCTTGATTAGCTCTTGTACTTATTACTCGATGCATTCTATATATATATATATATATATATAAACTGAGCCAAAAAAAAAGCATTTCTCTACCAAACAATATTTCTCTCTTTTGCCAACAAAGTATCAAAGCAGCCAGAGTCTCCATGACCATAACCTGTCACTATTTTGCTGCTAAGTTCCTAAAGTCTGGAACTCCTCTCCTATGGTGTCCCAGTTACTCTCTTCTTGTTGGCTGTGCATCAAAGCTAAAAGTTCTGGAGGAGGAAGATTTGACAGCATACATGAGATCCAAAGGTCACTCATCATTGATGATCCATTAGCCTGCTTGGGTGAGTCCAAGTCTCGGGATTTTGACAGTGGTGAGTTGATCAGACTGCATGAGACCCAAACCTCCATAGCTATCACTTGCTCCTTTCCCCTCTCTGATCCACCATTGCCCTGTCACTAGGGACGGTTTCCCTCTCCATTTTCTGTTGAAGATGGTCTTTTTAGCCCAAATTCTCCACTGAGTTTCTCCCTTTCCACTGGTTGGTGTTGATCTTCCTGAACTGTAAATATTTCAATATCTGTTTCTCAGACTGATTTGACTTCATTTGAGGTTGCTTCGCTGCTACAATGATTGTGGGTCTTGGTCAATGGTCATTGCATCAGATGCTGCATTTTTGTTTTCTGGCTCTAATGGTTGCAATGAGTAACAACCACACTGCTACCCTAGTTCTCCTCCACCCTCTTGGTTGAGTGCAGCATTGTATTCTTTTGTTGAGTTGCCTCTCCATCCTCAAGATAGACTCCTTGCTTTTTAAGAAACTTATGCCACATTTGCTTAAGTTCTTGAATTCCATCAACTCTCCCCTTCTTGATCTTCAAAACATTGGAATCCAATAACATTGATAGAAATTCGATTGACAAACCAATAAAATATGCCAAGCATAGAAATGACATAAAAACTTTTGCCTAATTCACACCATGCTGTTAAATAACTGATATCAGTTATTCTCTATGAATAATTGTCATCGTGGTAGTTTCTAATTCTAACACAACTGCCGATGCAGGATATGTATTTCCTATCACATATTCTAATAATGCATTATCATTCCCTAATTTCTACCCATAACTGCCATGACAGTTATTACACTGCCATATAAGAGTTATTATCAAATCCCATTTAAGGGTGGTTGTAATCCCCGATCACTGGTCACCTTTTTCAAGAAAACTATCATATCCGCCATTTCTTTCCCAATAAGCGAACCTTAATTTCCATATCTCCAACAACAATCCAGCACCAAATTATTATGAACCAAAAAATGGAAATCTGAATTCCAAAATTGATAAGAGTGCTAGCAACATATTCTTTAACACTTTTTTTACCACATACCCTACTATTGGTTAAAATAAATTGAAAACTGTACAATTAGGAGAGACTCATTAAATGAGAAATGGGACAGCCAAAATTTGTGATTTCCAATAAATTATAGTCAATAGTAAAGAGTGTAAGAGTTAGAGTTAGAGAGTATATTGTTAGCATTTCTCTTGATAAAAATCTAAAAAAGAAACTAAAAAATTTTATTGAATGATTGGGAATATATCGAGTCACTTTCCACTTCAACATGCCTTTAAGCATGTTGCCAACACCCAGGCCCTCTTATCCAACCTCATCAAAAAATTTGCAAAGTTCTCCTCCTTCCTCAGGCTGCCAGACTCTATCTAGTCCTTCAAGTGCCACTCCAACAAGCCCCAAACTGGCTTCAGCATCATCAGCGATGAACACTACCTCAGGATGATGACGGTTTTGCCTTTTTTTTTTCCTTGATTGTCTTTTTTGTGGCAGTCGGATTTGTAGGGATTGGTCCTAATATGGTCGCTGATAGTTCAGTTGGGTGTTGTGTCATTGTGTGGTCAGTGTTGCTGGAGGGGGCAGGAAAAGAGGGATGCCAAAGTAGATAATGGCTGTTGTGGATGGAGAAAACTCATTTTAGGAACATTTCTTTTGGTTTTTTCTGTTATCCTTCCCTTTTTCCCCTTAATATAATGATACACAAAAGATAACTTGTGTACCAGATACGCCACCTAAATAGTTTCTTGGCACATTAACATAACTACCAATTATCAACTAAGCTTAAAATAGGAAGACACGTGAGTCAAAACCTGAGATGTAGCAGAGGAATCAGCATTTTTAGGATCAGCCCAGCTAACTGTAGGAGTATTGTCATCTAGCTTAAATGATGGGCTCATCATCTTTTGCTTTGAATACTCGGCACATGCATGATTATGATAGTCAATAAAAGCAAAGCCACGGTTATTGTTGGTGTTCTTCAAATCCTGAAACAAAGGATTGAACAAATATTAACATTGTTGTTGTAATACATCACTATAACAAAAAAAAAGAAACTAGACACTTTTATTAAAAGTGGAAAACTAAAGCAAGCACAACAGAAAAATACATACCCTGACTAGTTCTACACCAGTAACCCCAGGTCCAACCTCAGTTACAATCTTCCTCAGATCTTCCTCGCCCCAGCTTCTTGGAACATTGCCAATAAAAAGACGGTGTTTGGCTTGAGATGTCGAACATTTTATTTTTTTACCCTGGAGAGAATTGATAATTGACAAGGTCAGGATACAAAATTTCACTAAGAATTTCTGCATCTTCAATGTTTGTAATACTAGAGTAGCAATAAAAAAGCCACCAACTTAAAGGAGAATCAGTATTGACTTTTGAATGCAGAGTGACTGAGATTATCATATTACCCTAAATTCTGTATGATTCAGCTCTTCAATGGCTTTAGAAGCTAATTCCACACTTCTAAAGGTCACAAAACCAAAGCCCTTGTTCTCGGAAGAACCCTTTCCCTTCATTACTCGAACCTGTTTCCTCAAAATTCAAGTTAATAGATGACATTGTATATAAGCATAAGCACAGTACAATAACAATGACAGGGGTTTACCTCTGCAACTTCCCCAATACGCTCACAAAATGATTTCAAATCATCATTTGAGATACCATGAGGAATGCCACCAATGTATACTTCCGAACCATGAGGAGGAAGAGAAAGAAGTTTGGCATGCATTTTCTTTTCATCCTCATCTTCCACCTTTGCATCATCACTGCTATGGTTTTGAATGGAATCATCTTCTTCCACTTCTTCAACCTCTTCTTCTTCTTCCTCCTCGTCTTCCTCTTCTTCCTCCTCTTCTTCTTCTTCCACCTCCACCTCCTCGTCTATTTCTTCCACTTCCTCTTCTTCTTCTACTTCTTCATACTCAATTTCTTCTTCCATTGCTTCCTCGGTATCATTTGCCTCCTTAAAATCAACCTTCTCATCGGATTCAACCGGCTTTTCAGGCTTGGATGGCTTAGCAGCTGTCGAAGAATTTGCTTTTCCCCGGGGCATCTTATGAAACTAATGAAACAAGCTTGTGAGGCAACTGTGAAGAAGGCACAGAGGCCAGAAGAATTCCTGGGAAGAAGTATACACATATCGAAAGGAAAGAAAGAAAGGCCAAACAAGGGGGGTACAGTGAATGAATGAATCTCAGAAGAAGCCGTGCAATGAGATAAGACTTACAAGGCCGCACCGCCAAAGATGTTTATTAAAGGGAAAGTGATAACTTAATTAGCAGCATTGACAGGCAAGTCAAAAACAAGAACAAAAAATGATTAATGAAGGCAGAGAAACCCAAAGGGATCCGAGGTCAACTGGCATGTTGGCGAGCACAAGCTCTTATATAACACAAAGCGCCAATCGAGGGGCAATGAAAATCCATATTCACGGAACATGAAAATGTAAACATGAAAATTTTCCACTCAAATGCAAGGTGAACAAACAATTAGGCATGAAAGGAATGAGAAGGCAGAACAAAAAGGAGAATCTCAAGTGCCCAATCTCACAAAAATAAACGTACCAATCTGTGCACCTTCCTGCCACAAATTTACAGATACGCACTAAGATAGGGTTCGTTACACACTTCTAACAGCTAATCATAAAGCAACCGTAACCGTAACCACAACACGTTAAATTTCAGCAATAAAAAACCCAAAGACAGAAAAATAAATAAATAACAAATTGTCTTGGCGCGGTATTTTAGGGCGAGAAAGAAAGGAGAATACCTTAGGGTAAACGGTGGAAGCTAATGAAATTGGAGAGAAGGGGAGAAGAAGGGAGCAACACGATATCGAAAATTTGTGGTGCGAAAAGGAAATTAGAGGAAAGTTGGGAAGAAATTGAATGCGAATAACGAACCCTAGAGTGGTGTCTCAGTGCGCTCGCAAAAGCCAATTTTGGTGCCGCCGTTAATTAGAGTTTTGGATTTTTCTTGTTTGTTTATGCGACGAGCCGTTTCTCATTTTCCGTCCAATGCCATCCATACATAGAGAGAGTCATGTCTTAATATAAGGGTATTATGGTAAATGGAACATTTAGATTTTCAAAAATCTCTTTCTCTTTCTCCTCCTATATTATTCTTATTTTTTCTTTTAATTTTTCTATTTAAATTTTGTTCTACAAATTGAATGAGAATAATGAGAATGAGAATCTACGACAAACCATGTCTGAAAGTTACAATGCGTGTCATCCGACCAATTATAACCAAATAATTTAATATGAATCTAAATATAAAATAGTGCAAAAAGAATTGGGACTTTATTTCTTTTCTACATGACTTTGACCGAGAATATTCCACCTAAAGGCTTTGGACTAATAAATAGATTTCTCAAATCATGTTTGGAATATAAAAAAATTAATTGTCATGTTGAAAATTATATTATTAATTAAATAAAAATTATCTCTAAATACTTTTATAAAATAATTTCAATGTGATTTTCAAAATAATAATTTTTAAATATATATTCATTAATAATTAAATAATTATACAAAGATAATTTATTTCATAAATTTACTAATTTCATTGGTTCAATTAGGCATGGCAACGGGACGGGGCGCGGCTGGGCGGGGCGGGTTTTACGTTCCCCGCCCCCAACCCGCTGGAGATAAAATCTGAATACTTATTCTTGTTCCCGGCGGGGTTCGGGTTTTCCCTCCCCGCCCTGCCACGCCCCCGCTCTTACCTTTTTTATTTCTTTTTTCTTTAAATAAATATGAACAAATTTAAAAAAAAATAAAAGAAAAATAAAATAATACGTACATATAAATATTTTTAATTTTAGTTTATATATATAAATAATTTTTTAATTATATTATTAAGCGGGGCGAGGGCAGGGCAAATGCGGGGACAGGAACGGGGCGGGTATTAACATCCTTGTCCCTGCCCCCGCTCCCGCCCCCGATTTTATCACTCAGAAAAAACTCAAACCCGAATCTAATAAACATGAGTTTTTTCGTCTAAATAGAGACGAGTTCTAGCATGTACCCACGGGGTGATTGCCATGCGTTCAACGTGACTTTTTGTGTTCCTTTCAAATAAATTACCAATCAAAGTTTTAAAACATTGAATAAGATGAAAAAAAATATATATATATATATAGCAACAACAACGACAATTTCTTATACTATCAGTCAAAAAGAAAATTAATTTCTTATATTATCTAACATTCGATGCAAACTAGATAAACTCATATTTGATAAACTAGATAAACTAAATAAGAAAGACTTAATAGGATTGACTAAAATAATGGCTATAACTTTTTTTGATCCAGTGGAAATAACAGCTATAACTAGTGAATTGATTGTAATTAAAATGAAATTGGTATAATAAATAGAATAGAAAAATGTATTTGGTTACTTCTCGGTTAAAAGGTGGTTAGAGAGAGGATGGGCTCTCGAACATTTTCATTGGTGTCATTTCAATTCTTTTGTAATTTCCCTGCTTTTACTTTAGAGAACTCATTGTTCCTTGAAGAATTCATCACTAAGGCTTTGTTTGGATTTGAGGATGGAAAAGAGGGAGTGAAAAATGAGAGATTTAAAGGGAAAGTGAGTAAAAAATGAGGTTGTTTGAATTAAGGGAAAGTGAGTGGAAAGTGTAGAGAAAGTATGTGAAAATTTGTGAGTGAATTGATTGATGTGATAGATAAAAATAAATTTTTTAATTAATAATTATATAAGATTACTATTTTGCCCTTAAAAAATTTATAATTATTATAGTTAAAAGATAAATATATAAATTTTAATTAAAAAAATTATAAAATATTAAATATTAAATATATATATATATATTAAATATTAAATATA